GCAATGCTTCATAATGGGTTATCTGTGCTATGTCCTTAAATTTACTGTTGACCCATAATGGGACAACCTAAATGGTCAAATCTGCGGATGAAAGCATTTGGAATTTAATTTAAAAAAATCATTAAAATGGATTCAAAGAACTGGAATGAGCTGAATGAGAAATGTTGTAAGTTTGATAAAATTTTAAATGCTTTCTTTATCAGTAAAAAAAAAAAGCAAATAAATTCTTAATCAAATTATTTATACGTGTAATAAATTTGGTGCATTAAAAACTCCTAAGAATTTGATAAATAATTCCCAAAATATTTGTCTACAGTTTGTTTGGAGGAACGCTCATTGGGTAAATAGAAATACCGTATCTTAATCTTTCGAAGAAGGTGGATTGAATGTGATATCTCTGAATGATAGACTAACTTTTTTTTTTTCGGATTCAGTATTTCGAACGTGTATTATATAAGCCAAGCAGTTCGTCAACTCGAATTACAATTTTTAAACGAGAATATCAGCGTTTTGAATTTCTTTCTTTCCTTTCTTTTAACGTATCATTTAGAACCAAGATAAAAGTAATGACTTTTTTATAACTCTGCTTTAAAAAGGATGGCATGGTGTCAATATAAGGTGAAATATTGAAAATTCTTTTCTTAAGGAACCTATTTTGTCGGATTCTTATTTACTAGATAACATCATTTTGTTATTTTTCATGGTTGATAAATAATGTGATACCAGTGTCAGGAATTGTGGGCCAGAAAAGAAATAAATATTAGGTTAATCTTGCTGCCACGCCTACAGAGTAAGAAGATGAAAAATGCTTGAACCGATGATTGATTTGATGTCAACAAAACTTAAGCACGTTGTTAATCCTCTTGGATTCACCACTAGCAGTAAAAATGTAATTGTGATCAAGGTGAGATATCTATCATAGAATCCCCAGTAACAAAACATAACACTAAAACCTTGCACTGCAGTTTGATAGAAAAAAAAAGGAAATTGTGTTTTGAAGAAACAGATGGAAAACAATATACGGAGGTCTAGCCGAAAACATGATGCGGACATATGGTAGACATGATGCAGACATACAGTATATTTGATGCAGATATACAGTAGACATGATGCGGACATACAGTAGACTTGATGCAGACATACAGTAGACAAGATGCAGACATACAGTTGACTTGATGCGGACATACAAGAGACATGATGCGGACATACAGTTGACTTGATGCAGACATACAGTAGACATGATGCGGACATACAGTAGACACGATGCAGATATACAGTAGACATGATGCAGACATACAGTATATTTGATGCAGATATACAGTAGACATGATGCGGACATACAGTAGACTTGATGCAGACATACAGTAGACAAGATGCAGACATACAGTTGACTTGATGCAGACATACAGTAGACATGATGCGGACATACAGTAGACACGATGCAGATATACAGTAGACATGATGCAGACATACAGTAGACTTGATACAGACATACGGTAGATATGATGCACTCCCTTCTCAAATATGGTTAAAGCGAACAAATGTAACTAAAAATAACTTGGGCCCATATTGTAATACAGTGATTGTTAATAACTAACATATGTATTTTAGTTATGTTGTAAATGACGTTTTATTAAACGTGATGTCCAACTATTTCTGTAAGATGATGTGAATCGTAGGATTATAGAAACTAATGCTCGTTTGTTTGTTTATGAATTTCGCGCAAAGCTACACGAGGGCTATCTGCGCTAGCCGTCCCTAATTTAGCAGTGTAAGACTAGAGGGAAGGCAGCTAGTTATCACCACCCAACGTCAACTCTTGGGCTACTCTTTTACGAACGAATAGTGGGATTGACCGTCACATTATAACGGCCCCACGGCTGATAGGTCGAGCATGTTTGGTGTGACAGGGATTCGAACCCGCGACCCTCAGATTGCGAGTCGAGTGCCTTAACCACCTGGCCATGCCGGGCCACTAATGCTCGTATAAAAATAATTCTAACTTACCTTCGGTCTGGCATGGCCTGATGGTTAGAACGCTCGACTCGCAACCTGCGGGTTCGAATCTCTATCACCGAACATGCTCGCCTTTTCAGCTGTTGGGGTGTTATAATGTGACGGTCAATCCTACTATTTATTGGTAAAAGAGTAGTCAAAGAGTTGACTTTCAAAAAAATTGGGATCAAGATATTATAATGGTTTGATATAGATCAAGATATTATAAATTTCACGATTTTTGAATAGTTATATTGTGTTATGTATATTACGAGTTTTTAGATAATTAGATTCTTTAAATTTTAAGTAGTTATATATATATATATGTGAATCACCGAATTGTTTTCAGCCAAACTTGAAAAATAATGTGTTTTTATGTCAATAAAAACGTCTGTCTATCTATAATAGTTTTAAAATATCATTAAGGTGTATATAATGAAAGTATGCATCTGTTTTGATGGGTGTATTTACAAACAAAAGGATAGGCCAGGTTAATGCTTTTAACATGCCAGACAGTAGGTGGCGGCAACATCGACATAACAATGTTAAAGATCCTTGTTTTTAATCTTGTTTGTTTTAGAGCAAAGCCACATCAGGCTATCTACCACGTGGAATCAAACCCATAATTTTAGCGTTGTAAGTACGTAAACTTACCGCCGTCCCATTGGGAGGCATTTAATCTTGTTCTTAACTTCATAGGAACTATTCAATATATTGTAATGTGTATTCGGGTTGTGTTGAAGGTATATTTAGACCACGTTGGAATTATATTCAAGCTGCATACAGATATAGGCAGGATCCCGATTTTTATGCAGAAACAAAATTATCCGTCTAGCAATTTGAAATTATGCTCATAACATTGCTAATTATGTAGTATGTATGCAGAAAAGTTAAAATTACGCATTGACTATGCGGCAAAAATTAAAATTATGCACCCCTTTACCTAAAGTAAAAAATAAAAGCCAAAACAATAATACTTTAAAGGTTGTTTCCTCAGAATTAATCTAATTCTACCAGGAAAACAATAACTTATGAAACAAGAAAAATAACCACATTTTTAGATCTTATAATCTGACTAGTCAGCATTAGATATGACTACAATATTGTAATGGTTATTGTAGTTCTTTCAAATGACTCATAGTGTTCCAACCACTGCTGTGTTAGTTGTATCCCAGCCGGCACGATGAGCTCTGGATTGAGAGAAACGCGTTGTAGGCAATAGACATGATAAATATTTTATGATTGGAATACTATCATTAAAGACTCTTCTAATTCTTGAAAATCCCAAGGGATTTAAGAATGAAGTATTTAAAATGCATTAGGCCTAATCCTAACACCTTGTGACAAATGAAAATAATTACAGCATTGTTTGGACAAAGAACAGTAGGTTAATTTTAATCATAAACTGGCTTTATATTGCGACAGAGTGTTATGAGCTACAAAAGGTATGATCAAATAATTAGCTAGAAGAAGAAATGATGAAACATATTATGGTTAGTTAGCTGCGTAACTGGGAAACATATTATGGTTAGTTAGCTGCGTAACTGGGAAACATATTATGGTTAGTTAGCTGCGTAACTGGGAAACATATTATGGTTAGTTAGTTGCGTAACTGGGAAACATATTATGGTTAGTTAGCTGCATAACTGGTAGCATTTTGGTATTTGAAGCTTCACAATTTTCGCACACACACATATATATATATTGTTTTTTTACACAGCTTCTGCCTGGGAGAAAGAATTACAATGGCGTTTCGATGTTAATAGCACAGCGATACATTTTATTTAAATATTCACTAAAGAGTGTTAGTTCTTAAATATATTCAATAAGAAAATGTTAGAACTGTGTGATGTTTTTAAAAATGGAAAATTAATAACTGTTTTTATGCCAGTGTATAATGTTATACTAAGTAGTTATAAAAGTACCGAAATTACAACTCAGATAACTTGGGACAATAGGAAGAAAGCCTTCTGTGGAAATACACATTCGTTTTCTTAGCTTTTAACATGGTCTTAAAATGGATAAGTATTAAATGGACTGTAAAAACTAGATTCTGAAATAGAAAAAAATAATGTTTTTCTCAGTTTAGATAAGTGAAAGCTCTGTACAAACTGTTTTAATGTTAGTTTTCATCAACAAGCCAAGAAAACAACCGTGTACTTAAGTTATATTTTCTATGCAATTCGCGAATAATGGGATTTTTTTTCGTTTGGTATCACTTCGTTAAACGTCTCCACATTCCAATTCTTCTATTCTGTGATTGATAGTAGCCTAGATTTAACATACCCGAACTGTAACTCCAAAGATTGATGGTTCGCGACCCGTAGCTATAAAACGCGCTCCAAACTTTGGGGTCTTGGGTGTTTAATAAGAGTGGCAGTCATGCCCTATTATTGGATCAGACAAGAGTAGCCCAAAAATTAGCGATGAGTGCTATTTAGCAGCTGCCTTCCCTCCCGATTATCAGTTCAAAATTAGAGAAGGCAACAGTTTTTGTGTTGTTTCTGAAACAAACTTTTTACCGCAAAACCTTTTTTTTTGACAAAGCATAACTAAGGATTTGCAGTTAACAAGTAGAGAAAAGGACTATAACCATCCAGAAGCTCCAATAATATATTTTTTGTTTATATTATTTTTTTATATTTCTGTTTACCTATTACATATCATCTCCCAATGCCTCTGAATCTAAGGACTTATTAACACTCTTTCATTCTTTCTTTGCAATAATTTTCTGTTTTTTAACTGTCTTTCAAGACCCGAAAGTGAGAAGCGCAGTTTTCCAACTTTTATGTTATTTAACTGTCTTTCAAGACCCGAAAGTGCGAAGCGCAATTTTAAAGCCTCAGTACGCGAGATATAGATCTTGAGATTCACAGACCGGCACGCTAATCCTTAGGTCATGCCCTACCCAAAGGGCAAAACAAATATTTTAAAAACACACTTAAATAATGCATTTACATTAATTTCCTTCACGAGACTTGGCCAAGATAACCATATGGTCATAATTTCAGAGCACCCATGGCCAGTCTGGAGTGTCTGGACGAAAGCACTGTGTACAGCGAAAGTCCGATGCCTACTCGTCCTCCGAGTCGACAGACTTCCGTTCACTGGACAACAGGAATGCGTTACAGGCAAGTGAAAGTTGATAAGTGGCCATGAAATTGACGAAATTCTTTTGTCTATGGTTTTTGTGAAGAAAGATTAAGTTTCATGGGCGTGGGTAGTCCTACAATCATATCCTATTTGTTTGTCCAGAAGTTAATAAGACGTAGGTAGTCCTACAGTCATATCCTATTTGTTTGTCCAGAAGATAATAAGACGTAGGTAGTCTACAATCATATCCTATTTGTTTGTCCAGAAGTTAATAAGACGTAGGTAGTCCTACAATCATATCCTATTTGTTTTTACAGAAGCTAATAAGACGTAGGTAGTACTACAATCATATCCTATTTGTTTGTCCAGAAGATAATAAGACGTAGGTAGTCCTACAATCATATCCTATTTGTTTGTCCAGAAGTTAATAAGACGTAGATAGTCCTACAATCATAACCCATTTGTTTGTTCAGAAGTTAATAAGACGTAGGTAGTCCTACAATCATATCCTATTTGTTTGTCCAGAAGTTAATAAGACACAGATAGTCCTACAATCATAACCCATTTGTTTGTCCAGAAGTTAATAAGACGTAGATAGACCTACAATCATAACCCATTTGTTTGTTCAGAAGTTAATAAGACGTAGGTAGTCCTACAATCATATCCTTGTTTGTCCAGAAGTTAATAAGATGTAGGTAGTCCTACAATCATATCCTATTTGTTTGTCCAGAAGTTAATAAGAC